AAAGAAGGGCAAGTTGAGCTCAAGATTTATAGGCCCATTTGAGGTGTTGAGGCGAGTTGGGGAGGTTGCTTATGAGCTTGCTTTACCTCCCAGCCTATCAGGGGTTCATCCAGTTTTTTACGTGTCTATTCTCCGGAGGTATCACGCCGACTTGTCTCATGTGTTAGACGTCAGTACTATTCATATAGATAAGAGCTTGGGGTATGAGGAGGAGCCAGTTGCTATTGTTGCTAGACAGGATCGCCAGTTGAGGTCCAAGAGGATTTCCGCGGTAAAGGTTCAGTGGAGGGGCCAACCAGTTGAGGAGGTGACCTGGGAGTCCGAGGAGGACATGCGGAGCAGATATGCACACTTATTCAGCACTTCAGGTATGAATCTAAATTCGCTTGAGGACGAACATTTGTTTAAGAGGTGGAGAATGTAACAACCCGACCGGTCGTTTTACTTGCTAAAACCCTGTTCTCCTAAATAAGACTTCCCGTACTTGCTTTTACTAATTTATGACTTGCGGGGATGGTTGGTTTGGGATTTAGAAGAATTTGGGTTGAAATTGGAACACTTAGTTCCTTAAGGTTGGCTTGAAAGACCAAGTTTAACTTTGGTCAACATTTTTAGTAAACGATCTCAGAATCGGGATTTGACGGTTCCAATAGGTTTGCATGATGATTTCAGACTTGGACGTACGTTCGTATCAGTTTTTAGGTGACCCGAGTGCGTTTCGGTGCCTAATAGTGAAAGTTGGTTCTTAAAGGTTTTTGAAGTTCTTTAAATTTGATTTGGAGTAGGTTTTGGTGATATCGAGGTCCGAATGGAATTCCGATACTGGAAATAGTTCCATAATGTCATTTAAGCCTTGCACACAAAATTTGGTGTCAATCCGAGTAGTCTAAGTATGATTCAACGCGTTCGGAACAATTTAGAAACTTGAAGTTTAAAGTTTGATTCAATTTGGTTTTGGGGTGTGATTCTTGGTTTTGTTGTTGTTTTATGCATTTTGAGAGTTCGAGCAAGTCCGTATTATATTTATAGACTTGTTGGAGTAGTTGGACGGGGTCCCGAGGGGCTCGGGTGCGTTTCAGACCACCCGGAGTTGAGTTGAAACATACAAGATTTCTGCTTCTGGTTTCCTTCTTCGCGAACGCGGTCAGACCCTCGCGTTTGCGATGAAGGATTTGGGGTACTGTGGGCTGGGGAGCTTTTTCCCTTCGTGTTCGCGTGAGCAGGACCGCGTTCGCGGAGGTCTGGGCCCTCTAGCCTTCGCGTTCGCATGACCTGGCCCGCGTTCGCATAGAAGAGGAAGCCCTCACGTTCGCGTAGGGTAGGCCAAGCGAGCCTCCGCGTTCGCGTTGCTCCTGTCGCGTTCGCGATGGGTAAAATTTTCCTGGGCCTGGGCCGTTTGCCTTCGCGATCGCGAGGCCTCTTCCGCGATCGCGAAGAAGGCAGACTTGGGCAGAAACTTTTTAAATACGGGACTTAGGCTATTTTAGCTCATTTCTTCCATTGTTGGGCGATTCTTGGAGCTCTTAGAGATGGGATTTCACTTAGCACTTTGAGGTAAGTAATTTCTACACAATGTGAGTTAAATACATAGTTTATGGGTAGATTATAACATATAAATTAGTGAAAATTATGGGTTTAGGTAAAAACCTAGGCTTTTGATAAAAATGAGATTTAACCACAGGATTTGTTATAGAATTTAGTAGAAATCATATATTCATGTTCCTAAGGTTATGGGAAAAAACTTTCTTCGAAAATTTTTGGAATACCAGCACGTGGGCCCGGGGGGTGAATTTTAGGAATCTTGCAATTTGGGTTGGGTGATCACCTTAATAGTGGAAATATGAACTTTTGAGCATAGATTGACTAGTTTATGTAATGTTTGACTAGTTTCGAGTCATTTGTCATCAAATTTGGAGGTTTGAGCGCGTTCATGAATTAGGAAGTAGGCTTCGGGACGAGGTAAATCTCCTTTCTAACCTTGTAAGAGGGAATTAACCCCATAGGTGAATTAAATAAATGTTTGTACCTAATTGTGGGGGCTATGTACGTACGAAATGACGAGAGTCCGTACGTAGCTATTATTATGCTATTGTCCGGGTAGTTTAGGACCCGTATCATGCTATACTTGGAATGTTTGTGCCCTTACTTGCTAATATAATCAATTAAGTCATGATAAAAATTGATAAAAGAATTATATAAGGTTAAATTCACTTACTTGAAGGTTGGTATGAGATACTTGATTGTAAATGAGCAACCTGTATTTTCTTGAAAATAATTGTTATTTGTGGATCGGGCAGAGCGCCTCGGTAGTAAATAAATGCATCTATGATTCGCGACGTTCGACCCTCCGATAATGCACAATTTAATATTATGTTGGATCGGGCCGTACGACCTCGGCATAATTGCGCATGTTAATTATCTGGAACTCTCTGTGATTTATACTACTTAAATGCCTTAAAATGTAAGTGGTTAAATGATATGATCGAAATTGAAATTTTAAATTTATGAAAGAAGTACTTATCTCTTCCCGTTATTGAACTGTCAGAATTATTCATGATATCTGTACTTAGCATAACACTTTAATTACATTATTATTGGCCCTAGTAAGTGTCAAGTCCACCCCTCGTCACTACTTCTTCGAGATTAGGCGGGATACTTATTGGGGTACATATTGTTTATGTACTCATACTACGCTTTTGTACTTAATTGTATAGGATTTGAGGCTAGTGCATCTAGTTACCCGACCGGCGCGCATACCTGATCTTGGACCGAGACTTCACGGTGAGCTACCCCCCCTTCTGAGCTGTTCGGCAGCATGCCGAAGTTTCTCTTTTGTTTTAATCTGTCTATTCTGTTTCAGACAGTAGGATAGTCATCTTTTGTATATTCTAGTAGTTGCCCACACACTTGTGACACTAGATCTTGGCACGTATTAGTAGACTTTGATTTTCGGGTTGTAATTCAATAGTTATAACTGCTTTTAGATATTTCCCTTTGTTTGCCTTAAAAATTCGTTATTTATCAAATGCTTTAAATGTAAGTAAAGCTAAATGTTGAAATTGCTTAATAAACAAAAATGGAAAATCACTAAGTTGTTCACTGTTGGCTTGTCCATCAATGGTGTTGGACGCCATCACGGCCTGACATGGAGTTGGGTCGTGACAATATAACCCATTACTTAAGTTTAATAAAAATGGAGTACTTCATATTCTATTAAATATTACATCCCATAAGAGAATCCCAAATATTTCTAGAATTTTTGTAAAGAAAACTCTATATAAAGTCTTAAAAGTATATATAAAAATTATATAGTTATATGTCAGTTTGGTTCGATTTTTTTTTACTCAATACCAAGCCAAATCAAACAAAACCTAGTCGGATTTTTTAATAGATTTGGTTTAACTTTTCGGTTTGGTGCGGTTTTACGGTTCAATTTGTACACCCCTACATAGATTATACATTGATTGTAAATAATTATACACATGTAATACATAAGTTATGTATATATATTATACATTCACCGATTATTTTTAATTTAAGTGGTAGGGTGGACGGCTATTTGGATTAATTCTTTAATTTTTAAAGCTATTTTTGATAGCATGAGTTAATGGTTAATATTGAACAATTAACCCTATTTGTGGGTGTGTTTGGTATGTAGAAAAATTATGTTATAATGGAAAATGAGTGGTTGTATCACTTAGTTTTCCTTGTTTGGTTGGTGAGTGGTAAACTTTTTCTGAAAAATATTTTTTTATATTTGGTTAGAGAGTAAAAAATATTTTTTTAGGAAAATATTTTTTTTATGCTACTCTCCTCATCTCCCTCCCCCTTCCCCGAGTCCCCATGTTTCCTTACTCTTCCTCCCATCCCCCAAATATCCAATGTTTTCAAGACTCTATTTTTTTCAAGAATTTAATTATTCTTTTAAAAATTTACATAAACCCAAAGGAACTAGTGTGCTGCTTATTTTTAGACAAAAATAATATTGGAATTTGTGCTCCATAACTATAAAAAAAATACTTTTTTTGGTTGAAAAAGAGAGTACTCTTTCTACAACATGAAAATAAAGTACTTATTTTATTAAAATAAAAAAAAATACTTTTTCTACATCATAAAAAGAAAATACTTATTTTGTTGAAATGAAAAAAATACTATATTTTTTACATTATGAAAAGAAAGTACTTTTTTTGTTAAAATAAAAAAAGAAAATTTTTTATATCATGAAAAAAATTACTCGTTTGTTGAAANGGGTGTGTGGGTATGGGGTAGGTTGGCGGGGATGTGGAATATGATAGGAAAGGTTGAGAAGGAGTTTTGGAAAATATATTCCAAGTTCACGAGTAAAAATATTTTCCAAAACATTTAAACCAATCAAACATGACAAAATTAGAAAACATTTTACTTTGTACCAAACACACCCTGTGAGTCTGTGACTTACTAAATTTTCCGGGGCCTGAGGATAAAATTGATTCAGAGGGAGCGTAAGATGGAGGGGAGAAATTCAAAAATAGTCAGATTTACAAGTGTTAATTGAAAAATAGTCACCGTTTCAAAAGTAATCGAAATTTAGCCACTTTTCATATAAAGATAAATCTGAACAAAAACACTGTTCAAAATCCGAAAAATATTCCAACATAATATACTAGAGTTTCAGTATAATATACCGACCCAGCATAATATGGTAGAAATTTATACACAGGTGCTCTAATCTCCAGTATATTATGCTGGAACTTTCTGCGTGTTGGAGTTCCAGCATAATATGCTGGAAGTGAATACATAGATGCATCAATTTCCAGTATATTATGCTGGATCGATTCGTATTACAACAAAATAATAACTATTTTTTAATAACTTTGCAAACGTTACTATTTTTGAATTATCAGTCCGATATAATCAATCCGATATAAGATGCTGCTGTCCTGAATCTTCAGTAATTTCACGTGGCAAAGGCCCATTACTGGTGATATCATATTAATCTTCACCAAATACTATTTTTAAAACAAAATTAACGTTTCTCTATCATCTCGCCGATTCTCTCTTTTCGCCATTCACCTTCCTATTATTCTAAAACCCTCTCACCCTCTCTCTCTCTGTTACACATAAACCCAAAACTATCATCAGAGATACGTAGCCTGTTTTCCCATTTTCAATGCCATTGCAAGTTCGTTTCCTATAAATAGACAAGTCAAGTCCATTGATAGCCATAACCCATCACAATTCACAAAACATTTTACGTCTAGCTGATGCAGCAGAAAGGTAGAAACAATAACCGTAGATCCAGGAGCTTCTCTAGATCTCGCCTTGCTATTGAGGGTTTTTAACATTTTTCTCCCACCCTAATACCCAATCCACATCACCTACATTGCCTTCAACGATCCAAATCATCAGATCGGATTCGGATATCATCACACAACAATGGCTGCTACTTCAGGTCTGTTACTTGAGTTGTCAATTATTTTCTTTATTGGACTGTTGTTAAGGTTTTGATTGTGAATGTGGTGTGTGTGTGTGTGTATGTGTAGGACAAGAGCGTGAGGTTCAAAAGAGTTATTGGATGGAGCACACTGCCGAACTTACTGTGGAGGCGATGATGCTCGACTCGAAAGCAGCGGATCTTGACAAAGAAGAGAGGCCTGAGGTATATATACTAACTTTCTGCTTCCTTGTATGATCCGTTGATATCCAATTTTAATATGCCTTATCATACAGTTGGTTCCGTTACTTTGTTAGCTTTATCTTGGTTGGGTAGAAATTACCATAGTAATTATTTATAAAAACTGTGTTGATTGGGAGTACTGTTTCTCCGAGTCATTTTCACTGATTTCCTTTTTGGAACGTACCCTTTACCTTTGCCAAAAGGAAAAAAAGTGGTATAGTGCTTAATTTTGTCTGGGATGATATATTAGGATGTGTAATTGGTAATTAGTACCTATACCTTATTAGACGTGGTTCATCATGCCAGTAACAGTACCTTTGAAATTCCCTGTATGAGAATTTCTATTTGATTCCCAAATGCTTTCTTACAGTCACAAAAAATAATTAATCATGACAAGTGCTGTCATTGGTTCCTAGTGACTGATGAAGCTGGGGCTGACATATAGGATAAATTTTTGAAAAATTTATTGTTTCTTCCCCTGTACTTGTCTTCAACTTTTAATTTCCCAGCATTTCCCAGGTATATAATTGTCCTCAATGAAGTCTAATTCAGTATGCAATTTAATCGGTTTTGAACTTCAGTAACTAGGGGTAAGATTTTGACCTAATACCCTTTACATGGACAAAGGTCAATTGACGGGTTTCTGTTCACAATTTAGACTGATTCCATACAGCCTGGAGCTCTTTTGAGTTCCAACATCTTTGAGATCATTGAGTCGTCTTTACTAATGTCGCCCTATAAAGAAGGTTATTCTATTTCCTGCTTTGAGAGGAAACTAGCAAATTTTTTGTCCTTAGGTTTGTTTCAGAACCACACATTCTATTTGGTTTGTTTGTGAGTGGACATGATTACGTATATGACAATTTAAATATTTCCCCGAATTTTGAAACTTTTGGCTGGTCATGTAGGTGTTGTCTCTCCTTCCGCCATATGAAGGGAAATCTGTGCTGGAATTGGGTGCTGGTATTGGCCGTTTCACCGGCGAATTAGCCAAGAAAGCTGGACAGCTTATAGCATTGGACTTTATTGAAGGTGCAATTAAGAAGGTTTGTGGCTGTTTGCCTTCAGATATTTGCATTTTCTGTCTCTGCGCTGTGCATCAGGAGGGTTTATAAGATACTTATCAGAATTAAGAGAAAATAAGAGTTGGTTTAGAAGATTTACTTGTCACTTCTTCATGCTTTTTAAGTGATGATATACTTAATAGGTTTCTGTATATCCTTATCCTTCTAATTTGCTTCCTTGCAGAATGAAAGCATAAACGGGCACCATAAGAATGTCAAGTTCATGTGTGCTGATGTGACTTCTCCAGATTTGAACTTTTCACCTGAATCAGTGGACTTGATATTTTCTAACTGGCTATTGATGTATCTTTCTGATGGAGAGGTAAGTTTCTTTTCTATCTTTTGCCTTATCTTCCACATAGAAAATCACTGGAGTTGCCTTTATATAAAAATGGACGAACAGTTAATTGCGTCAAATTACGCTGGACAAAGGGCTGTGATTCAGTTAATAAAGATTAGCTAATATTCAACACACTGGTTGGTCACTCTTTAGCATTTAATGCTTTTTTTAATACTAAATATCCACCTTAATGGTGGTGTATGGAGGTCATGGTTACACAAATCTTGAAGTATACAGGCACATTGTATGGAGGTCATGCTTAGGGAAATCTTGAAGTATACAGGCACATTGTTAGTTACACATATTTAAACTAATACTATGATTTTACAAAAAGAAGTCAATTCCAATCTCTCTGGGTCAGTATCTCTCTCCAACAAGTGACATGCCACGATCCTCAATAAAACGGAGTGTTTCTTTGCTAAACATGCTTTTATAGTGCAAATAGCTGAAAATAAGAATTTAATCCCATGCACATTTAACCTTTATTTCCACCGACCGTTCCTTTAGAGAATTGGAAAATGGTTTTAGGTTGAAAGTATTGCAGTCAGCACTATATGGCAATTTACAATGTGAGCACTTTCTTTGACAAACCTATTTTATAAGATATGCTACTGTAGCTTCTCGACAAACCTAGTTTATATGATTTATTTACTACTGTGTTTGTGATCTTCCTCACTCATCATACCTTTGTCTGACTTGATTTGCTGTTTAACTAGTCGTCACTTTAATATTTGAAGCCGTTTCTACCCTTGCTTGCAGGTTCAGTATCTTGTTGAGAGAATGGTTAAATGGTTGAAAGTTGGTGGTTACATATTTTTCAGAGAGTCATGCTTCCATCAGTCAGGAGACCACAAGCGAAAGAATAACCCTACCCACTATCGGGAACCTAGGTTTTACACAAAGGTCTTAGCTTTGCTTTCAACTGCTTTCTTGTCCAACATGATATTATGAGAAAAATGCATTGTTGTTTAAGAACATTTGTTATTTCCTTGGCATTCAACTCAACAAAGTGGCTGAAGTATGTTATTGCATTGACCAACCATTTGGCTCCATGTAGTAAATTTTTTTATCGTGCTTCTATGTGTATATTGTTGTCTTTTCTCTTCACCATTAAATGATCCTCTTTAGTAAATCTTAGATAGCGCATTTTCTTTTCTTTGCAACTTTTCATGTTTTCCTGGAATTGCAGCTTTATCATAAAGTGCTTTGAAACTTTATTGTGGACATTAAATTACACTGTTTATATTAAACAATTTTACCCAAATCCTTACTTTACACATAAAGAGGATCATTTAGGTTTGCCTCTTCTTACTTACTCTACATGGATCTCATTTTCTGGTCCTCTCTTAATTGTTACGCGGAAAGCATAGTAAGAAGAGCTGAAAAAATAGCTGTCAAGCGCAGGTTTTCAAGGAATGCCATGTAAATGCTGGTAATGGAGAATCATTTGAACTTTCTCTCGTTGGTTGCAAGTGCATCGGAGCTTATGTGAGGAACAAAAAGAATCAAAATCAGGTAGAATTATGCTTTCCTCATTGACCCTTTTGTTAGTTAATGTTAACTGACAATCCAATCAATATTTTTTGCTACTTGCACATTGCAGATTTGCTGGACATGGCAAAAGGTTAGTTCTGAGGATGACAGGGGATTTCAGCGGTTCTTGGACACTGTTCAGTACAAGTGTAGTGGTATTCTTCGCTATGAACGTGTCTTTGGACAAGGTTTTGTGAGCACGGGAGGAATTGGTATGCCTCTCAGATTGCACGTCTTACTCTAGTCTTGTGTAATATAGAGGGATTATTAATATGAGTTTTCAGCCTTTGGGGTTACCAACTGATATAATACAAGTTGGTTATCTCATTCATCATAGATATATATTCATCAATAATACTAGAGATTAAATTTATGACTATAAATCAACCATGCGTTTGGTACAGGACAAACATTTGTTTCCATAGATGCCCATTGACATAACTACTCATATTGCAAAACACTTGTGTTGAATCGGAGAACCCAATAACCTCTTTAAGTGTTGTCCATTGGCTCCATGAATGTCTCTCCTTACAATGTGTAGGTTCTCCAATTACGTCCTCAGACCTGAAAGTTTATAATGACTAAGTTTCTTTTGTTTGACGTGTAATTGTGGTGAGGACTTGTACATATGTGTACTTGGTTCTGCGCAGATATCTGCTTGCGAGTGTCTCTTTGGCTTAATGTAATCCAATAATATTCTTTTCCAATTATTTAGTATCTGATGCAGTACTTGTTCTTGAGCAGAAACTACAAAAGAATTTGTAGCCATGTTGAATCTTCAGCCTGGCCAAAAAGTCCTTGATGTTGGCTGTGGCATTGGAGGAGGTGACTTCTACATGGCTGACAAGTATGATGTTCACGTTGTTGGCATCGACCTGTCTATCAACATGATCTCTTTTGCTCTTGAGCGTGCTATTGGTCTCAAATGTGCTGTTGAATTTGAGGTTGCTGATTGCACTAAGAAAACATATCCTGATGGTGCATTTGATGTGATATACAGTCGGGATACTATCCTTCACATCCAGGTAATTTCACTTGTGTGGAGCTTCAAAATCTTTATTGACTAATATTCTTCATTTATATTTATCTTATCTTCCTTTTGGTTCCTTCGTCAATTGTTTTATCTGTAGTTAATTTTATTTTATGTAGTGACAGATGAGTGATAATTGATTAGCACCATGCCTCTCTGTCTCACTGCATATATATTCTTCTGTAGCAAACTTAGGAACACATCCATCTCATCTCATTTTCTCGGTCATTTTACAACTCTCAAGTCAATGTATTTTGCTAATTTGTTTTTATCTTTAATGATGAAGAGCCTAGCACCACCAAATTATCTGTCACTTTTGTACTTTCTTTCATTCACTGTTGAAGTCAATTTATTTCTAATGCCTGATTTTCATTGTTTATTTATTTGTTGTTTTAATGGTGTGGTGCCAGGACAAACCTGCATTGTTCAGATCTTTCTACAAGTGGCTGAAACCAGGAGGCAAAGTCCTCATAAGTGATTACTGCAAAAAAGCAGGAACAGCATCAGAAGAATTTGCTGGTTATATTAAACAAAGGGGTTATGATTTACATGATGTTGAAGCATATGGGCAGGTATAGATCCATTCCATGTAATTGTTCCCCTCCTATTATTTGCCTGTTTATCGTTTGACGCAGCTTTTCTTTTGGGGTGTGCTAACCATATAGATGCTCAGAGATGCGGGTTTTAATGAAGTTGTGGCCGAGGATCGTACTGAACAGGTATGTGTTTTACAAATCTTGTTTAATCTTGTGTGCAAGGCGAGGAAGATATTGATACAACCTATATGTCTGTACTTGCATTGCAGTTCGTTGGAGTTCTCCAAAAGGAGTTAGATACTGTGGAGAAGGAAAGAAAGTCATTTATCCACGAGTTCTCTGAAGTGAGTGCTTCATCATTTGATGCTCTTTATCTTTTGTTTCTTACAGAATAATTTCCTCACTTTTGTTTCTGATTTTAATATCACAGCAAGACTATAATGAAATAGTTGGAGGTTGGAAGGCCAAGCTAATCAGGAGTTCTTCTGGTGAGCAGAGGTGGGGTTTGTTCATTGCCAATAAGAACTGAATTATCCAAATGTGTGGTGGATCCGGTCCCATTTTATGCACTTGAAGATGAACATGCCTTGCAGTAATTTTATGTTATGTTTGGTCTCCCAAATAATAATCGGGTTGTTTGCTTGTGTTCGGGATAAAATTATTATACTGCTTCCCTAATGTTGGAGGAATTTGTTCTTCATTCAGCTGCCATTCTACCCTAGACTTTGATGCATATCTCATTCATATTGAGTTCTATATTTCCTTGTGTTACTCACCCAGGCATCTTTTGACGCAAATGAGTGTAGTTGTGATTTTGGAATTGGGTAGCTTTTTATCTGCGTCTGCCTTGTCACTTAGTTTAAACCTCTTCTTTGATTGAGCCGCTCGTGATTTTTAACTTTCAATTATCTCCATCATAATCTGCTTTTTATCTTTCACCACTGATGAAAACGAAGTCTTATCTCGTCGTAAGTCATGAGCAGATCATCCTCATTTTCACTTTTCCTGCTGTGTGTCAACGCACTGAATGGCCCCAATTGATTGTACTTATAAGCTTCTCCTGAAATTTAAAGTTCAGAATCTTGCCAATAGATGCTACTCCTAAAGTAGTCATGTTCAATTTGTGCGTATAAGAGGATTCTAATTGGATGAGAAGAAGAATGCACATTGTATAAGGGTCTCTCTTGAATTTTATTATTAAGGATCCTTCGTAATGTGTATTAGGAAAATGGTAGAAGAATTAGCATACTGATTCGCTTCCCCCTTCCCGTTTGGGTTAAACTATATTGGAATTTCGTTTAACCTCATTTAGCTAGATATTGCGTGTTTTGGGAAAATCCCATGGTCAGCCTCTGCAGTTATAATTTGGCTAAATATAGAAGGAATGTACTTATCTATCTACAGGGTGAAGTTATGATGCTGAAAACTTGTAGTACTGAGTTACGAGGTAATTTTCTCCAGAACCCAAGTAATTTAAAACTTGTAGTACTGAGTTACGAGGTAATTTTCTCCAGAACCCAAGTAATTTAATATCATACTTTCACATAAATTTTACTGAAAGTTATCTTGCTGTTAATTTTGGTTAACATCCACGAGTGAGATTCATGATCTCACAATCATAAGAAGTATCTTCAGCATTCGTTACGTAAATTTGCATTTAAATTCTACTAACGGAATAGAAAGATTTTCTTTTTTGAGTACAAAGTCAGGAAAATAGAAGATTTTTATGCTCTTGCCGTTTAACCTTGTAAATGAGTAGTGGTATACCTCAGGACATGATACAACATGCTAGGCTGAGCATCACAAAGAAAATTTTGCAGAAAACAGTAAGTATTACATAAAAGATAAACGCAGTACAAATATGGCTGAGGAACATAAATCTAATGGAGGTTCATTGCAGCAAGTAACACACGTAATAGCAAATTTATCGAACACCTTTAATCTTCTGCAGCTTCATCTTCATAATCACTATTTTCTTCAACCGTTGCATCTTGGTACTGCTGATATTCTGCCACAAGATCATTCATATTGCTCTCTGCTTCAGTAAATTCCATTTCATCCATTCCTTCTCCAGTGTACCAATGCAAGAAAGCCTTTCTCCTAAACATAACAGTAAACTGCTCACTCACTCTCCTAAACATTTCTTGAATTGAAGTTGAATTCCCAACAAACGTCGAAGACATCGAAAGCCCTTTAGGTGGTATGTCACAAACACTGGACTTAACATTATTTGGAATCCATTCCACAAAATATGAAGAGTTCTTGTTTTGCACATTCATCATTTGTTCATCTACTTCTTTTGTGCTCATTTTGCCTCTAAACAATGCTGAGGCTGTGAGGTAACGACCGTGTCGAGGATCAGCAGCACACATCATGTTCTTTGAATCCCACATTTGTTGTGTCAGTTCAGGGACTGTAAGTGCTCGATATTGCTGAGATCCTCTTGATGTTAGAGGCGCAAATCCCACCATGAAAAAGTGAAGTCGCGGGAAAGGAATTAGGTTCACAGCTAGTTTTCGAAGATCAGAATTCAGCTGGCCGGGGAAACGCAGGCAACAAGTCACCCCACTCATTGTTGCTGAGATGAGATGATTCAGGTCTCCAACTGATTGACAACAACAAAGCAGATATATTAGATCTTGAATCAAATTATGACTAAAGATTGCTCACGCTTATAAACGAATTAGGCCTTTTCTCAGTTTTTACCGCCTCATCTTAAAGATTAAACGGTTAGAGAGAGCAAAATTTTCCTATATTATGTCTCAACACACACCCCTCACGTCTAAGCCTGATCCTTTCGTGACGAAACACATGCCAAACACATGGAATGTTTTTTGTTTTTTGGGTGGCTACAAAATTTAAACCCAAGACCTCTGCTTGCTTTGATAAATGTAGAATTGTGATAACATAATCTAAAAACATAAGCTATTAGAAAAAAGAATAATTATAACTGCTTGATTTATTTTATGTATTAATACTTACAACTTGGAGTGGAGAGTTTGAGAGTCCTGAAGCAGATGTCATAGAGAGCTTCATTGTCAAGAACCATACACTCATCAGCATTTTCCACCAGTTGATGAACTGAAAGTGTTGCATTATAAGGCTCCACTACTGTGTCTGAAACTTTTGGAGATGGGAATACAGAGAAAGTAAGCATCATTCTATCTGGATACTCTTCCCTGATCTTTGATATCAACAGTGTCCCCATTCCTGATCCTGTCCCTCCCCCAAGAGAATGACACACCTGAAATCCTGTATTCACATATTTTGCTTTGAGATACAAATAACATATTCCTCTAAAACAGCTACCTGGTTTTTTTATCAACTAAGTTTAATAAATGGTTTATCCGTCCAAAAAACCAAAAAGGGCTGCTCGGTGCACAAAGCATCCCGTATTCACGCAGGGTCAGAGAAAGGACCGCACCCCAAGGGGTATGATGTAGACAGCCTAACCTAATGCAAGCATTAATGGCTGGTTCCACAGACTTTATCCGTCCAACTTGCACGAAAAGTTCGTCTAACACACTTTTTCTGTTCAGGCTAAAAACTAGTTCCGAACATTTTACCGACAATCAGGTCATCTATTAGATAATTACAAGTAAATCTTAATGATAAGCATTAATTACTAACTAACCTGTTATCACATGTTAAAATACAGTAATAGTACTAACCTTGTAAGCAGTCGGAGTTTTCAACTTCTTTACGGACAACATCAAGAACAGAGTCAATAAGTTCAGCACCCTCAGTGTAATGGCCTTTAGCCCAATTATTTCCAGCACCAGACTGTCCGAAAACATAGTTGTCGGGGCGAAAAATCTGACCATAAGGACCAGTTTTAATGCTGTCCATAGTGCCAGGTTCAAGGTCCATGAGCACAGCCCGTGGCACATAACGCCCATTTCCAGTTTCATTATAATATACATTCACTCTTTCAAGCTGTAAATCAGAATCCCCACAGTATTTTCCAATAGGATCAATCCCATGTTCATCACATACTACTTCCCAGAATTTTGAACCAATTTGATTCCCACATTGTCCTGCTTGAATATGAAGAATCTCACGCATTTTTCAAGATTTTTTTGGCTAAGAAACTTTTAGTACAAGTTTTTTTTCCAACTCTTTTTAGTAACTCTCCCAAGGGCTTGAGTTGATTGCTGAGGATTTGTAAGGTTTATATACAAGTAATGATGATGTGAAATAGTACTGGGCTGGAGTTAGATAAGAGTTTAAGTTACATACACCGTTAGACGTCAGAATTTTTTTACATTATCAGGTCAACTAAAAAGTATCTACAGGTAAGACTCCTTCAAACGTGCGATTTGTAATTTTGAAAATAAGAAAGACTATCTTCTACAACAGTGACATGATAATATAAAAGTTCCTTACATTAACCTTGTATATAGCTTAAAACTGAAGATAGAGAGTGAGGATTATATTTCCGTAGGTTTGATCCAACGGTTTAAAAGTGTCCGTCCTGTTGAAATATAGCTAATGGATATTTTGTGGGTGGCCTCTCGCGAGCAAAATTTGCCAATTGTGACTCTCTTAAAGATGTGCCGTCCTTATGAAATGTTAATTTTAGTCAACTTCTTTATATTTCTGAAATGAAACTTTAATTTATTTGTTTTGGCTGATTTAATTATGTCAAATATTAGGTAATGTTGATATGCAGCTTCATTCTTTTATCATTAATTGAAACTGACTCTTTAACTCTATTCTTGGAACTCTATTTAGGTAATATTCTTTGTCATCCGCAGCCCCCCCAAAAAATAAAAAATCCATTGCTCAATGAATGAGCCAGTTGATCCATGAGGGTAATATTGCAGCAGCAAAGCAAGGTTTTTTGCTTAACGAATTAATTACTTGGGTAATTTGGTTTTAGTGACCTGTGAGTTCCTTTATTTATTTTTGTCGGAGAAGTCTTTTCCTAGTTTATTTCTGTATATTTATTATTTTCTCTCGTGACGGCGCGAAGCGCGAATAACTTAACTAGTGATTCTCATTTCATTTGGAGGAACACGATAAATGAGGATAAAATGTGAAATAAGAATACTCATATTAAGTAATAAGGGAATTTATGTACACATGATAGAATGTGAAATATATATATATATATATATATATATATATATTAGCAGGACAATTTTTTTTTTAAATTAAGTAATTCGTATATAACTATTTTGTTATTAATTACTACATAACGATCTCGTCATTATTAATCACCGCATGAACTATTCTTGCTTGTAAGTGAATGAAACGACCCCTTAATGCCACGTTTGGAGAATTAACCCAATTAGACCCCTAACCAACCACTTCAAATAAAAATAAACAGCAAATATATAATATATATATATACAGTTCAAGTATGATACGTATAACCGTATATAATCTATGCATACCGACTAAACAAAATAAATAATGAATCTTTCCGGGCCTGAGAGTTTGCTGGCCCAACTTAAACAACTATTTCATCTGCGAAAGCCTTCTCTGATGTGTTCTCTGTGCAAAATGATGAAGCATCTAGCTAGCTGGACTGGGTCGTGCGTTCAATTCACAAAAATTGGTCAAAATAACACGAGCTAGCTAATTTTCGGACTGGTAATTGAAAAATAGCAAGCGTTTGCAAAGTCATTGAAAAATAGCCACTATTTTACTGGAGATTGTTGGACCTGTGTATGAACTTCCAGCATATTATGCCGTAACTCCAACACACGGAAAGTTCCAGCATAATATACTGGAGATTGGAGCACCTGTGTATGAACTTCCAGCATATTATGCCGTAACTCCAACACACGGAAAGTTCCAGCATAATATACTGGAGATTGGAGCACCTGTGTAT